CCTGCTAGAGGATGCTTGTAGGCAGAGGACTGGCCTAGAGAGAACAAAAGAGACAACATAGTGTTGGGGGAAGAGGGTTGGGGAGATGATGGAGGTAGGAGGAAAAGGAGTGACAAGAGCAAGTGTGTCATTATATACTCTTGATCTTTGGTACTCGATTATGTAATCACTTCAATATATTGTTTAAAGGTAAAAACAAATTATATTATAAGTCTGAAAGAGTGATTGTTAACATTATTAATATATATAATTGTATATTATCTTACTAAAAGTATTGTAATTAACTTACAAGCACAACATATTACTTTTATGACTGTTATAATTAATCAACTATTGTTACAGATAACTTATAATATAATTTTAGCATATTATAATAGGAGTTGAGCACATGTAATGTTGTAATAATACTATTAGTAAGCTTACTTGCTCTAAAACATGTTTGTAGTTTAATAGAAACTTTGTATATTTCTTACATTTATATACAATCATTATAATTACATTATAAGTAAAATATAAGTGTTATTTTAGAATGTAATGCTTATAAAATCATTTTATTAGATTACCTTTGCTATTATTAAATACATTTGTTGCGACTTTTTCGTGATGCACTAGGTACTATCCAAACACTAATAAACAATATAGTAGAAGAGTAAAGTTAGTAGTAGTAAGCAGTCTCTGTAAGACCTGTTGTTACTGTGGTGGTGGCAGCAATGGTAGTACTACTAGTAGTAGTAGCAGACACAGAGGCAGAACAAGAGCTTTGATTGTAGTGGTTGTTTTCTGCAAGAGTAAGACTGAGAAAACTTGGTCTCTAATGTTCTCTGCCTTTGATATTACATCATGTGAAGAGAATAATTGAGAATATATAGTCTCTTTGTTTGTCAGCATGTATCAAGATTTTTATTTATTAGTTAAATTTAATGTATTTTATTTAAGATACTGAACAGAGGATAAGTTCGGAGTCTCCAAAAAACGAGAACTTTCCTCTTGCGGAGATGCATCAACAAATAGCGCCAAACACAGTGAACAGAGACAACAGACCAGCCGACATAGTACCTCCCATGTAACTCCGTATAACAATTCAGAAGGAATAATAAACTTGACAGATAAGGTATCAAGGACACAGGAAACACTATTTCCAGTGTTCAATGCCTGAATTTTCTCCATGCAATTTGAAATTAACACAGCAGCTAGTGTACACAGGATCTTTAGGCGTGAATTTTAATTGGTGCTGTTCAACAGTATGCTATGCCACGCCAAACTCACGACCAGTTCTGTAGCTGTGTTGAGAACTCTGAAGAAACTCCAGGCCTTCTAATAATGCACAGCTTGAAGCACGTTTTGATACAGAAGTATTCCCAAACATAAAGAACCACTGCTAGTGATACAGTTTAATTCTGTGTATTATAGTACAGCAACAGAGTCTAGAGTTGTTCTTAGTAAAGTACAGTAATGAAGCAGTATAATAACAATTTGTCCAGGTTAGTGTCTGAGAGAGATTAAGTTTCTCCAGTCTATTTGTCTTGCAGTCTATTAGCAAATAGAATCTTTTGTAAATTTAGACACTAATATCCAGGTAATGCATTGTTTCAAGTTGTAACACTCTTACATTAAGTAGTACTTTTTGTATTCTAGTAAGTCAAGTCAGAGCTAAGAATATGTATATGTATGTATTGCCCTAATAGCTTAGACACAATACAAGAAGACAAAGAACAAAAACGTGCATACACATATGCACCACCTCAAAATCAGATTCAGAATACTCGTTCGTAAAGCTAAACAATATACAATATACAGTAAAATACGTAGACGTAACTCTGCAGACAAGACAAGACACACACAAAAAAAAATCGATGCAAAAAGGGTGAGGGTGAAAGGAGGAACAGTGCGGTGAAAATCGTTCATCAATATGTCGAGATTAAATGCGCATGATAGAGAAAGGGAAGGAAGGCATCACGAAACTTGTCGAAACACAAAAACACAAATTTAAAAAAAGCACGAATCGATAGGTGGACTAATCTTCAATTTGTCCTCCACCAATCCTTCGTACTAACAACGCCCACACCAGCAACGACACCAATCCGACGCGAGATCGTCCCACAACGCGAGGCGAAGCGTTGGAGTGTTTTGCTACTGCTGTTACTCGTATTACTCGTATTGCTCGCGTTCGTGTTCGTGTTATTCGTGTTGTTTGTGTTGTGAGTGGCGGTGGTGAGAGCGGTGTTGGTGTTCGAGACGGACGAGGAACTTCGGTTTCGCGTCTGGTTTTGATTCTGATTTTGATTTCTTTCGTGGGGACGTTGGGAGAAAGTCGATTCGCTCGGGAGGTCCTCAGCCGAACAAGACCTCCATCCTCCCTCCAGATCGGTCTTCGTGTTCGCACGTGAAGAAGCGTCCGCAAACACAGTAAACGAGCTCGTCGACAAGTTCCTCGCTCCTCCACCTACAACTCCAACTCCCTTCGGACCAGAACTAGGACCAGGACCAAACAACATCGGCGGAGTAGACTTCGACATCTCCCTCAAAGGAGGTTCGACAAGTTCCCACTCTTCCTTCCTCCGTTCTCTTTGTAGGGGAAGGACGACGGGTGTAGGTCCAGGTGTCTTCGCTCGTCTCTCACCTACACCTACTTCTCTTCTTACTTCTTGTTCTCGTTTTCGATTTTGATTCCCGACGGGCTCGTCCTCACTCTCCCGAATCACCTCCCGACTAACTCGTACCCTCACTCCTCCGTTCGCAGGTCCGTAGAAGTTGAAGTCGGCGGAAGAAGCAGGTGCTGAGGTCCATCCTTCTCTCCTTCCTCCATCACCACCTCCTCTTCCATTTCCTCCCGCTTCTCCTTCAGAACTCGTATTCCCACCTGAACGAGATCCAGAACCCGACCCAGACCCAGTCGAACTAACCCTCCCTGCCCTTCCCGCACTCATCCTACTATCATACGGCCCAGCAGCCGACGCACTCAACCATGTCCCCGCAGTAGTCCTCGCCCCTCTTGGTCTCGCTCCTACCCTCAAATTTGAACTCTGCTTCTCTTTCTCCTTTTCTTTGTCTTTTTGGGATACCGACGAAGAGGTAGAGGTATGGTGTCCGAAGTTAAGGTTAAACCCGCCAGATCGAGAAGGTGTGATCGGCGAGAGGATGCTAAACGGTGAGTTTGGTCTGCTCCCTCCATTCACACTCCCATTCGCGCTCTCCCCTTTACCGATTCCGAATACGCCTCCAGCACGACTACCTTTGAACGAAGCGGAAGCAGGACCAGGTGAGTACCCAATTCCTTCTCCACCAACCATCCCGTTCCCACTTCCACTCCCGGTTGTACCCCTCATTCCAACCCCAGACGACCCACTAAATAAACTCGCGAAAACCATATTCGCATTCGAGTTCGTACCCGAGGGAGTCATCAACGTCGTCTCAGTCTCCGTCTCGTTCGAGGCACTTGTAGGTGAATAAGGCGAGTAAGGTGAATACGGTGAACGAGGCGAACGGGGAGAGTAAGGCGAAATAGGAGAATGCAGAGAATGAGGAGAGGTCAACAATGTTGGTACTGATTGGCTCTGTCTTCTCCCATACCGACTGTGTCGACTGTATTGGCTGTTGGATGAGTCGTCGGATGTGGTGTTGGTAGTGGTTGGGGAGGTGGGGAAGGTTAGTTGGCTTCGCGTGCGTTCGTGTCCGTCGTGTCTGTGTCCAGTCAAGATGGAAGCAGAGGCAGGAGCAGGCCCGTAGACAGGTGACGGGGACGGATGTGGGGGTGCGAGTGTGACCTGAGGAGTTGGTGTTGATGTTGGTGAAGGATGAGTGAGAGGATGGAGGTGCGGTGAAGCAGGTTGAGGTGTAGAAACACCAGCACTTCTTTCCGGGATAGCACTAGTATTTGCAGGGGCAGTGGAAGTCTGTAAGGCAACATCCCATATATCTTTAAGTAAGGTATTATAAAAATTGAATATGTTCAACGTACCTCTGAACCCGCCTCCCTCTCTTCATCCCTCTCCTCACCAGCACCCTGCGGCACCGACAAACTCATCCCCAGCTCAAACCCACTCGCACAAACAGACGCCTCATACGGCGGCGGGTGGTCTCTTCCCTCCTCTCCTTCTCCTTCCCTTTGTCCTTGTCTTATTCCCTCTCCCTCCATCGTCGTCGGCATTGGGATAGGCAACGGTATCGACATCGACATCGAACTAGTAACCAACCGATCCCTCTCACACTCTCCATAATGAGGTGCTGTCTCTCCTTCCTCTCCCACCATTCCCTCCATCATAATACCAAATTGCTCGAGAGATTCACGACCGACGCCGAACGTCCCTCCCTCACCCACAACTCCCCCGACTCCGTTACTATTAGGATTGTTGGAGGTGTAGGCCATGTGTAAGGGAGGCGTACGGACGAGGATTGGGTCAACTGGTGTTCGTGTATGCTGTTGCATCTGCGTTTGAAATGACTCTGCACATGCGTCCGTGCTTGAAGCAAGAATTGAGGTGTCCATTTGTGCTTGAGTAGGTAATGGAGTGTGCACTTCCAATTCACCAGTCCCAGCATCCATTCTTGCAAAAGCTCTCGAAGGCAATATCCTCGCCCGCGCAGCCTGCGCCCTCGCACCCGTCAACGATATCCACTCTTCCGAGCTCTCCCCACCCGTACCACCCGTAACGGTCGTCGCCATTGAACGAGAACCGGACTCGGAAGTAGAGGCACTTCGAGTTGTTGTCGTTCTCTTTATTGCGGTGGAGGTACCGTTAGCCAGCTCGGTTGAATTTGAGTTCAAGTGAGTTTGCATATTGACGTCTGCACCAACACCGACATCGACGCCAAGAGCGACATCGACGTCCACCTCCGTCTCGCCATCCTCTTCGTATATCGGTGCGAACACAGGTGGGTCTAGCGACGGTAAGGATTCCGAAGACAAGAACTCGCGCCATTCTTGTGTAGGGTCTTCGTAAGGCACTTTCGTAGAGGCACCCCATGCCGGAACACCAACCATGCCATCTCTCCTCGACGCATCCGCATATACCCTCCCTTCTCTCCTTCCCTCAGCAACGCCAGCACCACCAACACCGCCAACAGCACCAAACTGCCCATTCGAATCGAAATTGTCGAGATTAACGGAACCGACTTCCGATTCAGGAGCAGCCTCGTCCCAACACAAAGCTTCCCACGCCTCGTACGGGTCATCGCGCAGGGAAGTATCCAGGGACAGGGACGACAACAACGCACTCGTCGCTTTGTTGAGTGAGTGGGACCATGCGTGTGGTGGTGGCGGTGGGAATCGTGCTCCCGTGTTTCGGTATGCTGAGGAGGATTGATGGGGATACGTTAATTTCGAATTTCCAGCAGCATTTTCGTAAAGATATTCACCCGCGAGTCCACCGTAAGCCTTCTCTTCGTCCCGATAAGAAAACTTCGAATACTCGGAAGGCGAAGACGTCGAGTCCGACGAGTGGTTTGATAAAGATAAAGAGGATGGAGGCCTCTCGTATCCCAACCCGTTGGTGTATCCGTAACTCGCAAGGTACGCAGCATTGAGTTTCGCAATCGCATAAGGGTCGGGCGAGTTAGCATTGGTGTCGGTGCCATCATCAGCGTCGGCGCCGGGGTAGGGATAAGGATAAGGATTGGTGCGAGCCTGAGTTGGCGTCGGACCGGGCGAGTTTGGGTAATCGTCTTCCTCTTCCTCGTGTAAATACCCAAATCCATTCCCACTTCTTTGTGAATGCCAATTGTACGCACCCACGGGAAGTCCGTCCTCGTCGCTATCACTGTCAAAGTCAAGATGCGATACGCGCTCAACGTCAACAGCAAGTCCATCACCAGCAACTTCAATTCCATTGTTCGCGCCGTTGTTCGTCCAAGGCCGAGGCAGATAGCGCTGATCCCACGCCGCGGAAGTCGAAGTCGAAGCGCCAGTGGAGAACGTCAACGGCGCAGGAGCCCAATTCGCGTTAAACGTAAACACACTCGGCGCATACCTCCCACTATTCCTTAACGTTCTCGTGCTCGAAACAGCAGACTTGATTGTCTGCACGCTATCTCGTGCGTACGCATGGTGTGGAGAAAGATGTAACGGCGACGATTGGAGATTCCGACTTTGACCTTGATTCTGAGAGTGAGAGTGAGAGTGAGAGTGAGAGTGAGAGTGAGAGTGGTCATCGGATGGAGAGACGACAAGGCTCGGCTGTTGTAGTTGAATTTGTTGAGTGTTATGACTGTTGTCGGCGCGGCCTCGCTTGTCGTTAGCGCTAGCGTTGTCGATGGTGGGAAGGTTCCATTGAGAATAAACGGGCGTCATCGTTGTCGTCATCTTCTCCTACCAACCGTGCATTTAGCCAGGTCTCTTCAATAACGATAATAAGAATAAGAGTGAGGAGGAAGAGGGACACAAGTGTCCAGTCCAGGTGAATGATGGGGTGCAGCGGTCAAAGCGCGGCTACTCACTTACTTACAATTAGACGTATAACAAGGACAATCAACGCATCGGATAAGAGACACTCGGTGTATTCCATTCCTTTGATCCAATCATCACATCCTCCGCATCTCCCGCTCCTTCCTCTGCTTAAATAAATAACTTATATCTTACTCTACCCGGCCCTTAGGCACCTAATGGAGTTCCCCCTCTCATCACTTCTCAAATAAAATAAATAAATTGACGCATCTCCCTCCTTGATCCAGGAGCCCAGGCCCAATCAATTACTTATCAAATACAGCACACCTATCCAGGAATCTCGCTGATACCGACATGCCGATGTTGATGCCATAAAGAAATCACACTTACCGAAATTAAATAGTATAAATTGCCAACTCGCCGCCGCCACACCACAATGAACCGTCAAATCATCATCTACATAATTACACAATTACACCTCGATGAAACACGAAACATACTGACGGCTTGACGTGTGAGGAGACGACGCGGCGTTTGTCGTGAGGACAACACTGACAATGACGTTTATTCATTTAATTTATTATTGATTTTCGGGTCGGGAAGAACTTCAGACTTATACAGAGGATCTCAGGAGGGTCCACGCTGATCCGATAATCCGCCAATCGCTCTTCCCTTTTGCTCTCAATTTATCTGCTCAGCTTCCCTGGATTTTTGTTCGGAATTTTGCACCTCTGATACATCATATGTTCCCACAAAGACAGTAAGGGTGGCTGTAACATTACTCTTTCCTGCTCAACATCTTCTGTTCAATAATAATACAGCTTGTATCTGGGTGTTTCATTTGTCTAGTACATAATTGTGGATATACATATGCTAAACAACATAAAGTTATAAACATCTAGGAGGAAGTTTCCTTTACATCATTTGAATAAAAGATCTGCTCCTGATGATATTGTTAGCATATTCATTAAGTAATTTACTTTCAACCATACCTGATAATGCCTGTCAAGTTTCAGAAGAAATTTTGTCTAGCATCTGTGTAGAGAGAAACTTTGGTATTGGTCCAAGTTTACCATGTATAAGTGTTAATATAGCTATGATGGCTAGTATTCCTGGCTAACCAAAGGTGTTGCACCAGTAATGTTTGTACACAGTCTACAGGACATGGTCCTGAGCAGGTCAAACCTCTAGATTAGTAAGGGCAGAAGGTAGTTTGCCTTGAACAATAGTAAACATTTGCTGAACTTGACTTGTATAACTAGTGTATAGTACAGTATTTGACAAAAGTATTACACATTAGTATTTCACAAACTTCTTTCTTTATTAAAATTATTATTATATTAGCTTATATTAAATAAATACTGTATTATTAAAGTAGACCTTGTGTATATAATGTTAGTATAATAATTAGACTTAATACTTACTTATAATAATTAATATACTTTAATTTAAGAAAAAGTGTCTGTACATTTCTTTTGATTACTTTTAATAATTTTATTATATTACACATTTGTATTAAAAAAACTTGTTATATTAATATAGTAATTTAGTATTTAGTATACCCTCCTTGAGCTTTTGCTAATGTATTAACTTGTCTAGGCATACTAGTATACAAACTTGTAATATACTTATTATTTATTTAGTACTATTCCTCTTATAAAATCCTTCACAATTTATTAATGTTCCTTAGAAGTAGATGTCAAGCTTGTACTTTATTGTCAAGATAGTACTAAACATGTTCAATAATGTTCATGTCTAGGCTTGAAGGGGCCTAATCAAGAAGTTTGATTTGTTTTTCTTGTAGCTATTTTAACATTACTTAAGATTTATACTTTAGATTTCTATTCTACTGAAAGAGAAACTTGGCACATAGAATGTTATAGTCAGAAAGGGTGCTAAGAAGTGATTTGTCAAGGATTTGAATGTATTAGCTAGAGTCTATATTCTTTTTAATGTAATAAAGACAGTCAACACTATGTATAGTAATACATTCCCAAACTATAAGATGTTTACTACTATACTTGATGACCTTCTTTACATTCTTTACATAGAGTGACTCCCCCTTCCTCCTGTACACAATATTCCTTCTATCCTACTTGAATAGATTGATTTTTGTCTTGTCTGAGAAAATAACCTTTTCCTACTTTTTAAGAGTCTAAAACTAATATTTGCTAGTCTAATATCTCCTACAAGTGATATGCTTCTTAGACAAGTATAGTTTAATAAGAGGGACACAGGCCACTATTCTATAATCTTTGAGAGCACAATGAATAGTTTGTACAGAATTGGACAGGAAGTACTTGTGTTTAAAGTTGCTAGAATTCTTTACTTTGTTTAAAGTAAGTAAATAAGTAGTATAGTGTACTTTATAAATGTCAAATTTGTGTGGACAGCCTGGTTTAGGTTTGACATAGTACAGGTTAGGGTTTTTGAGCAGCTTGTAGTAGTTCTAGGAGACTGTCAATGTATTGTAACTAAGTTTTTGTGCAATTTTAATGTTACTCAACCCTTAACTCTTTTAGTCTAAGATACATTACTTTTTTATTAGTATAAGATATGAAGCCATTTCAGCAGATCCAGAGTAGTCTGAATTGAGTAAAAGACAGAGTATTATTAATACTAATAGAGTACTAGTATGGTACAACCAAAAAAAATACATATGACTATTTATACAATCTTACAAGTTTTCTCCTATTTTAGAATATATATAGTTATTTTTTTAACTCATTTTTTTTTACTATATTATTTAGTAAATAATAGTACTTATATCTTATAATTATAGTTCTTAGTTGTCTGTATATAATCTTTTTTAATTAATAGATTAGGTCTGTATAATACTTTTGTCAAATACTATACTATATATAGTATTATGTGTATTAGAAGGGTCTAAATAATACAGTTAGTGTATATTTGTTATATATGACAACTATAATTTACCTAGACAGTCATTCTAAATACTTATACATCTGACTCTTCTGTAGGTTTGGGTACAGACCTCTTAAGCAGTTCTAGTAATGTGAATAGTATAGTTCCCTTTGTCATACTGCCTGCAGAAACACTAAATGCAAAAGTTGTTAATACTCTGAGATAACAAGACTGGCCAAAATTGTATAGAACAAGTATGTCTGAGTTAGACATCAAAATGTTAGCCTGAATAGTGTGTTAGTGTACTTATCAGATCAGTGAGTTGATCATCAAATGTACACACTAGTTTAATGTCTGAATGTATAATCTTCTTTGAATAAAGATAGTTTACTCCTTTAGTAATACTAAGAGCCTGTTACTAATAAATAAGAAGTAAGAATTATAAGGACTTATAAGTTGCTTACTATCTGTAGCAAGTCTGTTCCTGAGCCCTTCTTTACATAATCAAGAACAGTTCTACCTTCTATCTACCTTAACACTAAACAAGGACAATTCTCATCCCTAACAAAGAAGTCTTCAAATTGAAGAATATTAGAATGGTTAAGCTTTGACCAAATATAAATTTCTTTTACAAGGATCTACAGACAGAGGAAGTAAAGGTTGGACAATGTAAAGCTATCAACAATGAGTAAAGATGTTGAAACAGACCTTTTCAAAGTTGTTCTTAAAAATGTGTAAACATAGTTTCTTTATTATAACTTTGAACTTTGTTCCTTGCCTATATCAGGAAAATGTTACATTTCTTGTAATTTCTTATAGACCTTATAAAGTAATATGTGTATTGTATATACATTGGAAAGTAATTGTAAGATTTGTAAATGAATTGTAACATTTAAATAAGACATATTAATGTATATAAAGACTATATAAGTACTAAGGATGAATAAAATCTAATACATGTATTATACTAACTTTGTATAATAACCTAAAGTATTATGCTTGTATTACATTTAAATTATAATCTTAAAAAAAGAGTTATATTTATAATATAATAATGTAATAATAACTATTGTTATCTTATAATTTATGTAAAAGGTATATTAATATATATAATAGGGTAAGAGTACTTGTTGTATCCCTATTATCTTAATAAAAGTATACTATAAGTATATAATATGTACATTATACTTAGATTATCTTGGGCAACTGATACCTAACTTGCTTATGTAATCAACAGCTAAAGATTGAGAGTATATACTATAATAATACACTTATGTGTACTACTCTTTCTCTTTAACCTCTACTACCTCTCTAAGTCTAACTCTCTACTGTGCTACTATATTGTTACTTTTGTTCTCTCTAAGTTTCTAGTCTTTCTCTTCTTACATGCATCCTACTAACTGTTACCCTACCTTTAACAATGTTAATAATAAACATTACTATACTTGTCTCTCTAATCAACTGTTGTGATGCCTGTACTGAGTCCCAGATTCTGTACAGCTGATTATACTGTACCCTTCTAGTCTTAACAATGTTAAATGTAAGCAACCAATTCACTTTATAATAACCTGTACAATAGTTACTCATCCCTCTCCTTCCAACTTTTTGTCTCCCTTCTATCTCTTCTACTCCTTGTTCTGCCAATTGTATTGTCTCTCCTTTATTGTCCTCCTTTCTACACTACCTTCCCTTTTGTATTCACATTCTTGCATCTGTATTGTTAACCAATACTGAGCAAATTCTTTAAAAATCCTATACACTTACATACTTCTTCCTACTCTATAGTGTAAGTAACAATTGACAAGTACATACTTACAACAATGTCTATGTACATTTACTCCTATTATAATACCTCTTCTCTTACTCAGTATGTGCTCTCCTTCCCCACCTGTACAATGCTTAACATTATTCTTAGTAGGCCTATACTGTATGTATTTACATTCCTCTGTACTAGGTATAACACTACATTAAACAGGAGTAGTAGTCTATTACTCACACCTATTCAAGATGAGTTGAATCTGTCCATATCTTCTACTTCACCC